GTCCCTGTGACCCTGTGTGGGCAACTCTCTAAAACTAGAAGTTAGAGAGAAGGGGCCACCTCACTTTAGAAGAGACGGTTTCCTCAACCAGCAGTTCCCTGTCTCTATTCATATCCCTATCTCAATAGCGTGTTCTGAAGGGAAAAACAATGATAACAACTCACATTTCTATAAGTTACAATGTATCTTCCCCATCCTCCCATGAGGCAGTTAGTGTAGCATTATCTCCATTTTACGGATGAGAAGACTGAGGCACGTAAATGTAGACACAAATACATAGTTAAGTATTAGAGATAGGACGTGAACCCAGTTTCTCCAACTCTAAATCCATCACTTTTTCCACTCCAATGAGTACTGGAAATTGCAGAATAGCCCCTGATATGGACTTCAAAAGCTCCATTCAAGGTTCCAAAGCCACTGGTATCAGCCAGAGGCAAAATGTGCACCATGTCTAAGTATCTTCATCCTAAGATACTGCAGCAACTAGCCTGTTTTGGAAACCCTGTAGATATTCTGAGTGGATAGAGCTTAGAAAGAATTCCATCCATTTCTGGCCTTCCACAGGCCACCGTAGCCCTGAGAGATGAAAACAAAATGGCAGCCATTAGTACTCGGATCTATCCAAATCAGAGGAATCGGGGACACAGGGAAAAAAAATCAAAAGAAAACAAGCTGAGGCTCTGGAGGGCACCCAAGGACAAAAAGCCCAGTGACATTTCACTCATCAGATGGCTGGGTCCTGCCATTAAAGGAGGTTGAGCTGACTGTGTTACCTGGAAGCTAAAGGAAGAGAGAAATTTCATGGAGAGAGAGAGAGGTTGGAAGGCTCTGCCATTGGCTCACATGGTCTTCAGAAATGCTCTTTTGTTTTTTGCTTTTTAAAAATTTTTTATTTATTTTTAACATTCATTTTTTTTTTTTTTTTTTACATTTGGAGTTCCAAATTCTCTCCCCTTCCCTGGAACCCCTTACCCATTGAGAAGGCAAGCAATATGATATTGATTATACATGTGAAGATGCACAAAAAAGATTTCCATATTAGCTACACTGCAAAAAAAAAAAAAAAGAAAGAAAGTAAAGAAAGTGAAAGGAAATCTGCTTCAATCTGTACTGAGAATTCATCAGTTTTCTCATTGGTCCTTTGGAATCGTCTTGAATTGTTGTATCAATTAGAGTGAAATGCTACATTTTCTTAATTCTGATTAAAAACCATATGATATACCTCTGGCCTTTCACTGGAAAAGTAGGAGGAACATGGGTACTGAATGCTATATACAGTGTAAGCCATGTTTGCCCTGTCTGCTGTGTGTCTGCAGATTTTGTTGAACGTTTTCTCAGTTACAAGGAAAGGCACACTGAGTGGAGGCTGGAAGGGGCTGGGGGGTATATCTGAAAAAAGGGTGTAATGGGAAAACAAAAGACATCCCAAAAACTTTGAAAAAAAATAACTACTTCAGATGAAATAGCATTGGCATCGAGCATGGTCCTTGTGTTCAGTTCATAAGGGTGTTAGGCCCCTGACTGAGGGGGAGGGGTGGGATTATAGGCACTTCCCTTTGTTTTGTATGTTGGATAATCCAGGCCTACTGGTGATTCCACCTACTTCAGAACGTGTTTTGAGTAATCTATTTTGCCCTCAGAAACCTAAGAACAAAAATATCAAAATACTCACCTGTATTTTAAGGCTGTTACCTGCGTCTCTTTAAAAACAAACCCATACTATAATTCTAAATTGTTTTTATGGATGCCACATTCTCTTTAAAGGTAAAATCTTAAACACATTGATGACAATTCATTTTTTCTTTTCTTTTTTTTGTAACATCAAAGAGCATTCATAGCATTTGAGATGTAGCTATGGGTCACTTTGGGGCTTGAACCCATAAGAAACTATCAAAGTTGGCCAGGGGGACCCAGGGGTGGGAAATTCCCCTGTCATCAAGTGGGTCTGGGGGAACTGGGAGAGGAATAGAAGGGATGGGGGACATGTATCTTGTAGAGGTAGAGCACTGGAGAGATAGCGCACACGTGCACGCATGTATGTGCGTGTGTATGGGGTATGCATGTGTGTGCGTGTGTGCACATGTACGTGTGTGTTTGTGTGTGTGTGTATGTGTGTTAGATGCAAAAGGTGAGTGGAGGGAAGAGGGAACAGTCAAAGTATGAGGAAAAAGGAGAAGAGAAACAGTGTTAAAGAAAGATGGCGGAGAGTATGTTCTTATAATCACAGAATCATAGTATCATAAATTAGAGGTAGAAAGGACCCTAGAGATTATCAAGTCCAACTCCATCATTTTACAAAGGTGGAAACTGAGGCAAATGACTTACCCAAGGTCACACAGATTGTAAAAGTCAGAGCTGTGATTCAAACTCAGAGCCTTGGCCCCTAAATCCAATGTTTTCCCACTACATGATGCTCAGCACTGCTGAGGCTCCAAGGTGGGTTCTTGGGCACTGGACAGAAGACTGAGGAGCCAGGTTGGTGGGGGAGGGGGCAGGGAATGGTAACAAAGGGCCAGTGGTGCAGAGCGAACATCCCTCTCCTGGCCAGGGGCAGGTGAGTGAGGAGGGACCAGCGCTGTAGGCCCTCCCTGGGTGATGTCCATCTGAGCTCAGATCTGAGCCACATTGGCAGGCCCAGCTAGGGGAGGGGGCGGGGGGAAGGGGCAGAGAGGGAGCACCCAGGAGGCTCCTTAGTCTGTCCTCTACCTTCAGGGGGACGGAATCTCCTCATTGAACCTCACCAGGATGCCTGTGCCCAGAAAATTTCATCTTTGCCCATTTTTCAGGGGCTCTTTGCAGGGCCTCTTTCTTTCTCCTGGCCTTGAGGTTTTCAGGGTGGTGGGTGTGAAATGTCTCCAGGTATTAGTAAGAGATCCTTATATAGCACAGTGCTGAACCCTGTGGGGCCAGGCCAAGCCACCGCCCTAAAGCCTCTCATTTGTCATCTCAACACTTCAACTCTTGCTAAGCCAAGGGATTCAATTTACACGTCTTCAGTGCTTCAAAGATGTCTCATGGGGGGGGGGGGGGGCACCTCCCCCCCCAGTGTAGATCACAGTCTTTGACATTCACAGAATCACAGGATTTCAGAGCTGGAAGGGTCCTCAGGGGCAAGAGAGTCCAACATGCACTGGAATAAAAATCCTCACTGCCATCCCCCCGACAAGTGGTCATTCAGCGTTTGCTTGAAGGGTCACGGAATCCCCCGTCTAGAGCTGAAAGGGACCTCCGAGGCCATCTTGTCGAAAGGTCACAAGTAATAGTGTCAGAGGTGGGATTTGAACCCAGGTCCTCAGACCCCAGAGCCAACTCTTGCCACTAGACCACACTTTCACCCTTTCTACATTGGGACCAGCCCTAATCATCATGAAACTCTTCCTTACATCAAGAAGCTGATTCGCCAGCTTTTCTGTGCCATCTTTCCCTTTTGTCACACTCCAGAACCCACAACTCCCCTCTCTCATCTGTTTTTTTTAATGTATTTTTTTTCAATTAACAAAAATTTATTTTCTTTCCCACCTCCCTTCCCTCAGTGGAAAAAAAAGAAAAACAAAAGTCTTGTAATAAATATGCATAGTCAAGGAAAATAAAATCACACGTTGGCTATGTCCAAAAAATGAATGTCTAATTCTATACACTGAGTCTACCGCCTCTTTGTCAGAAGGTGGGTGGCCTGTTTCACCTTCAGTCTTCTGGAACTGCGGTTCGTCATTGTGTTGATCAGAGACCTTAAGCCTTTCGGAGTCATTTGTCTTTACCATGTTGTTGTCCTTGTATAAACTGTTCTCCTGGCTCTGCTCACTTCACTCTGCACGAGTTCAGCCAAGTTTTCCCAGGTTTCTCCAAGACCATCCCTTCACGATTTCTTACAACACAACAGTAGTTCATCACATTCCTACACCATCATTTGTTCAGCCATTCCCCAATTTATAGGCACCTCCTAAGCTTCCAAGACTGCTTGCCCAGTCACCTGCTTCTCTTCTAATCTTAGCTTCACTGCTTGTTTGCCAAAACAACTGGAATTTTATGTAATCCAAAGCACACATTTTATGTTCCGCAATCCTCTCTATCCCTTGTCATGGATCATTCCCTTAGCCACAGATCCTAAAGGTAATTTCTTCCTTAGTCCTCTAATTTGTGGTATCATCCTTTATGTCTAAGTCATGTACTTATTTGGAGCTTTTCTTGGTATATGGTGTTAGATGTTGCTCTAACCCTACTTTCTTTTTTTTCTTTTCTTTTTTTTTTTTTTCACAAAAACCACATTTGTTTTTCTCACAAAACTGGGTGGCTGTATTGTAGGAATAAAACTGGATCATACACACAGGATCAGATAAAAAAAAGTCACCACATGGTTATTTATACAGATACACAACAGTATTAAGAATTCAGGTAGAACTATCACCAGCACAGTAAAAAAATAACTCTACCTAGATCTTTAAAATTTGAAAGTGTTTACCCTAACAAACCTGAGGTTACATGTCTAACCCTACTTTCTGCCACACAGATATCTAGTTTTCCTGGCAGTTTTTGCCCAATAGTGAGTTATTCCCCCAGTAGCTGGGGCTCTCCCATCCTTCTCAAATGTTCCAAGTGCTCTTGGATTCTCTTTTCTGCGCCTGCCTCTTTGGTCATTCTCCCTACCTCATTTTGAGGCTCGGTATAAGACTATAATTATAATTATAAGATGCTCCTATGGAGCACTGGCCTCCAGGTAAGATCCACCAAGTAGAAGGAAATAAGACAAGGGGGACAAGGGAAGGGCAGATAAGAGTTAGGGAGAGAAGAGGCGGGACTGCCTTGGTTTCCAAAGTAGAAGCCAAGTGAGTGACTAAAGGGGTTGCAGAGAGAGGAGCCATCCCCCTGCAGCCAGCCTGGAGATGAATCTCTCAGAACTCACTGGGCTAGTCCTTGGGACAAAACACGCAGTTCACTGTCGAGACCGTTTGACTTACACAGATGAAATCAGACACATATTAACTGAACATCTGAAGACTCACCACACTGTAGTAATTCTTGGTAAGCTGAAGAGTGTCCAGTCCTTTTACAGTCTTTGGGGAGCCAGGTTTCTCTGTGAAAAATATAATGAAATGATTGAAGGAGAGACACAATCCTTTTACATCCTTAAATTCATTGAGAGGCTATAAAAAGTTGACATCTAGAGCAATCAATAAGAAACAGACATTCTTTTTTTTTTTTTTAGTCGCATTGAGGAACTTTATTTGGATGTTTTCTTTTTTTTTCATTTTTTAAAATTAATTTATTTTGAATTATCAACAATCACTTCCATAAGCTTTTGAGTTTTAAATTTTTCTCCCTCTCCCTCCCCACCTCCCTCCCCAAGATGGCGCACAATCTGATATAGGCTATACATATACATTCCTATTAAACATATTTTCACATCAGTGATGTTGTAAGGAAGAATTAGAACCAACAGGAGGAACCACCAGAAAGAGGAAACAAAACACGACAGAAGAAAAAAAATAGCAAATAGTATGCTTCAATCTGCATTCAAACTCCATAGTTCTTTCTCCTTTGTGGATAGCATTTTCCATCACAAGGCCTTTGGAGATGTCTTAGATCCTTGCGTTGCTCAGAAGGGCTAAGTCTATCAATTTTAGTCATCGCACAATGTGGCTGTTACTGTGAACAACGTTCTCCTGGTTGTGCTCACTTCACTCAGCATCAGACCATACAAGTCTTTCCAGGTTTCTCTGAAGTTAGCCTGTTCATCATTTCTTACAGCACAACTGTATTCCATGACATTCATATACGACAACTTGTTCAGTCATGCCCCAATTAATGTGCATCCCCTTAATTTCCGATTCTTTGCCACCACAAAAAGAGCTACTATAAACATTTTTGTACACGTGGGTGCTTTTCCCATTTGTATGATCTCTCTGGGATACAGACCTAGAAGTGCTACTGCTGGGTCAAAGGGTATGCACATTTTTTATAGCCCTTTGGGCATAGTTCCAAATTGCTCTCCAAAAGGGTTGGATCATTTCACAACTCCACCAACAATGCATTAGTGTTCCAATTTTCCCACATCTTCTCCAACATTTATCATTGTCCTATTTTGTCATGTTGGCCAATCTGATAGGTATGATGTGGTACCTTAGAGTTGTTTTGATTTGCATTTCTCTAATCAATAATGATTTAGAGCATTTTTTCATATGACTATAGATGGCTTTAATTTCTTCATTTCTCAGATGAACTGCCTGTTCATATCCTTTGACCATTTATCAACTTGGGAATGACTTGTATTTTTATAAATTTGACTTAATTCTCTACATATTTTAGAAATGAGGCCCTTATCAGAGAGACTGGTTGTAAAAATTCTTTCCCAATTTTCTACTTTCCTTCTAATCTTGGTTGCAGTGGCTTTGTTTGTGCAAAAACTTTTCAATTTAATGTAATCAAAGTTATCCATTTTGCTTTTCGTAATGTTCTCTATCTCCTGTTTGGGCATGAATTCTTCTGTTCTCCATAGATTTGATCGGTAAACTATTTCTTGCTCTCCCAGTTTGCTTACAGTGTCAGCCTTTATATCTAAATCATGAACCCATTCTGACTTTATTTTGGTATATGGTGTGAGGTTTTGATATATGCCTAGTTTCTGCCATACTCTTTTCCAGTTTTCCCAGCAGTTTTTGTCAAAGAATGAGTTCTTATCCCAGAAGTTGGGGTGTTTGGGTTTATCAAATAATAGATTACTATAGTCATTGACTACTGTGTCTTGCATACTTAACCTATTCCACTGATCCAGCACTCTATTTCTTAGCCAGTACCAAGCAGTTTTGATGATTGCTGCTTTATAATACAATTTAAGATCTGGAATGGCTAGGCCACCTTCCCCAGCAAGAAATAGAGATTCTTAAGGAAGCCTAACCTTAACTTTATTGAATCAGAGAATTACAGAGCTGGAGGAGACCATAGTGAACTCATCCGGGAATGAGGCCTTTGTGTTGGAGGTCAGGAGACTTGTCCAAGGTCCCACAGCTAGTTAGTGGCAGAGCTGGGACTAGAATCCCAGGTTTCCTGACTCCAAGCTCAGAACTTTCAATGGCAGCAGACATACAGTCTCTCAACTCCATTAAAATGAAATGTATCAAAGAAGCAAAAACATTAGAAGTGGTGTTATTCTTTATAATTTTCCACTGAGATCCGCAGCAATGTCCCCAGGACCTGAGATTTCACAGGTGTGTGCAACTCCCTCCAACACAAATCACCAACCAATAGTGATAGGGAGGTAGCCTTGTTTGTTCATCCCCCTGCCTTCTCCCCCACTCCTCCCACCCCACCCTAGCTCATTGGAGCAGGCCTTCTTGTGCTCAGATCCAGGGTTTCATGTCTCTCCTGGGTCTCAGGGCCACAGGAAAAACATCAACAGAAAAGGAATTCTGGCCACCTGGTTTCTTGAAATCTCTTTGAATCTCAACAATTCTTGTCTTTCTGTCTCTTCCTGGTGCTTCCTCAGAGCACCTGATGCCCAGAAAAGCTTAGAGACTTGCACATAGTAGCACACCAACTAAGTGGCCAATGTAGAGCTTGCACCCGGGTCTTCTCCCAGTACAGGGCTCTATCTGCACCACCACTCCACCTCTCCAAGACCGGTTTCTACAAAGCTACAGAAATAACAAGTGTAATTAAAAAACGTCCCTTCTGGGCTGAAGCCCAGATGAGACCTGGATCCGTGACTCACTGGGAACTAAGCACTTATTTATGTGTCTAGAAGGAAGAAAGCACTCTCCTTTACTTAGGATCTTCATATGTCATTTGGAATAGTCTCCAGAATACATACTTTTTTTGGACAAAGTTAAACTTCACTCCCATAAAATTCATTTCCATTTCTTTTTTTTTTTCTTACAGGGGGGCTTTTTTTAAGAGACATTTTGATACACTGGACACTTTCCAACAAAAACTCAAACAACTCCCATACTCACTAAGTACCTTCCCTGAAGAGAAGAAACCCTATCAAAGTTTGTGCTAAGGCTGACGCACACACCAATTTCCACTTTCCCAACTCATAACTGGTCCCTTTGCTTCTCAAACACAAAGTCCTGCCCCTTTCAAAAGAGCCTTTTCCCTGCAGAGGGGACAGTTACGGTGGATGAACGCCGGGGCTTCTTCAATTATCCTGCCTCGGATTTTCCTCTGTTGCTCTAAGGCTCTCCTACTCCGAGCTGAATTCTTAAAGAATCAACTTTGACGTGGCTCCTTCTCACAGAATCACAGAGTCAGAACAGACCTCAACAACCATCTGGTCCATGTCCTATGTTAAGAAAAATGTCCTCTTCAATGTAGCTGACAAGCGGACATCCAGCCTGCACCTGACAGAGGGGGAACTCCCGGCCTCCCGAGGCAGCCAATGCCTCTTGGGGCTAGCTCTCATTGGTGGGAAGCTTTGCCTCTTTAGAGCCTCTCCCCACTGATCCTGGTTCTTCCTTCTGGGACCAAAGAGAATGAGCAGAATCCCTCTGCTACAGGGCAGCCTCTCTAACACTTAAAGGCAGCTCTCACATCCCCTGAGTCTTCAGGCTATACATCCCCAGTTCTTTCGACCTATTCTCAAAAGGCCTGGAATCAGGGCCCTTTGCCAAGCTGACTGCCATCCTGCGGAAGCCCTCCAGATTATCAATGTTCTTCCTCAAATGCGGTAGCCAGAACTAAAGCCAGTACTCCAGGCATAGGCAGATGAAGGCAGAGTAACGGAGGACCTTTCTGTGCCCAGTCATCAGAGGGTCCAAGGGGGCGTGGGCTTTTTGGCTGCCGTGCCCACCATGGCCACAGACTGAGTTGCTGCCCGACAGATTCTCCAAACCTTCTTCAGACAAACTGCTCTCTAACCTTGCCCTGGCTCCTGCTGCCTTTTGGATTCATACTCGCCTGATTATTCTCCAGGGTGGCCAAGGTGGTTTCATTCATTCTTGGCCTTTTGGTAGCGATATGATATAATGCAGGATCATGTCCTCTCCTCTCTGAACCTACAGGTCAATACAAGACCCTCAGAGTATACCACCAAAATCAGTCCTCAGAGGAGAGAGCAGCAGCAATACCAAGCCGGGAGAAAAGGGGAGGATGGGCAGGCATGTCAGTCAGTCCAGTCTGCAAGCATTTAATATGTGCCAGCCACTGTGCTCTGTACTGAGGATGCAAAGAAAGGCCAAAATATGGCCCCTGCCCTCAAGGAGCTCACTTTCTAAAGAAGACAGCATGTAAATAACTAGGCACATACAAGATATAGACAGAGTAAATGGAAGGCAATCTTAGAGGGGAAGACATTGGAAAATGGGGACACTGAGAAAGGTCTCCTGCAGAAAGGAGAGTGGGAGATGAGAGGGCAGAGCATTCCAGGTGTGGGGCACAGCCAGGGCAAAGGTATGGAGGTGGGAGATGGGAGCATTTCGTAGACTAGTGTAGTTGGAGCATGTAGAGGGAGAAATATAAGGACTGTTAAGGTAGGTAAGACTATGAAGAGCTCTAAGAACCCAACAGAGGAACAGACAGTCATGCTTTGAGTTGAGTGCAGCATGGCATAACAGACAGAGCACTGGGTCTGGGACCAGAAAGCACTAGGTTCAAATCCCGCCTCAAACATTTAGCAGCTACGCAATCCCTGGTGAGCAAGCTTCAGTTTCCTTGTCTATAACATGAGGATAACAACACCACACACCTGCCCTGCTGAGGCCACAGACCAGAAAATGAGACAGTGAAATGTCCAAGCTGAGTGATGCCTTACAACTCAACCTTTCATTTTTCTGATGAGGAAACAGAGGCCCAGAGAGGAGAAGGGACCAGCCCAACGTCAGAAAGGGCGAGATCCCAGCTCTTTTGGACTCCAACGAGAGTCTGGGCCTTTTTCTGCTATATCACATGATGATTTGTTTTATCTCCTTCCTCACTCCCCACTCCATACCTACTTCTGACAGTTTGCAGCTAGGTGGCGCTACAGCGGATAGAGCACTGGGCCTGGAGTCAGGAAGACCTGAGTTCAAATTCAGCCTCAGAGGTTTACTAGCTATGTGACCCTGAGCAAATCACTGAACCTGTTTGCCTCAGTTTCCTCAT